ACATGGCTCTCCTTTATTTTGATTCCTCTCCTTTATGCTCCATTTCATATTGTCATGTAATTTATATTATTTAGTTAAACAATATAAATTGCATAAAATCATAATTTATTACTAAATAGACACAAGTTTAAATAGTAAATTTGTGGTTTAACTTTCTGATAAGGCAATCCTAATTCTCAACCCAATGATCCAAGCCAAGAGAAAGGTTAGAAATTGATTACCTCTATGATCAAAGATCTAGAAGCAAGAATGGAAATCTTGTTCTAGAATGAGTCATTCCACAATCAAACTTGATCAAGGCTGGATTGAATGGCTCAAAATGCAATCTATCACAAGAATTGCAAGAAACCTTAGAAATGGCAATGGGATTTCTAAAGAAAAAGTCTCTTGAGAGATCAAATTTCATTCAGCTAAAATCTCTCTTTTACATAGCTTGGATGGGGCTTTTTATAGCCATTATATGATTGAAACCCCCAACCCTTCACTTCCCAAAATAAAACCCATAACTAGTAATGACCACAATTGGTCTACTTAATAACCTCTCAGAATTGAACTTTAAAGTTGAAACCATCATTTGGAAGACCAAAAACTCAAAAATTACAAGCAAAATTTGATGACTTAGAAACAACAATTGAATCTTTAAAATGTTGGCACAACGTCAATCTTGCAAACGTTGACCTTCACAACATCGTCCTCTCTTGGATTATTTTGCAGCATCTGAAATAAAGGTTGAACTGAGCCTATCCAATTTTGTACGTGAATAAGGAATGCTTGTTGAAGCTTCTTAGCCTTGGCTCGTGTAATAGGTCCAGTGGAGACGTGCGGAACACCATGATTATTATCACTTTCTTTCTGCCCGTCAAAACTATAATAACATTTTATAATTTTAACTATGTTTTTTTAAATTTCAATGGTATATAGTAGAAGATCCCTATGCACAAAATCATTGACAGGATTGCGTAAACATATTGTTTTTTATGAAGTTTTTAATTAGGTTCTTAAAAGAGCAACAACTTAATCATTACATTTAACTCCATGAGTACAGGAACAACATTGTCTGAGAAAAAAGTATGAGCACTAAAATGTTATACATGCCAAATTCTTTGCCTGTGAAGGGAAAAAAAAGGTGAAATATGAGTTGTTATGAAAAGCAAATAGGTATTGATCCCATCTCAAATTTCTTATTTGGGCATTTACAAGATAAGAATATGTTTTTTTTCATGGTATCTATCTTTTTATGGCAAAGCATAGATGAAATACAAGTGTCACCGTCATCATCAGCATAATTCTTTTTAAGTTCAAGATTCAAATTCACACATCATATTTGTTGTTGTACACGAGTGGCCTTTTTTTAGTTCAACAACAAACAAATGTGAAAGGTAGAAAATTAAACATTCAACCTCAAAGAAAATAATAGGTACTTTATACATTAAACTATATATTTTGATGGACACAACTAAGAGCAATTTAACTTGAACAAGTGAAATCAAAACCATGTTTGGTTAAGGTACCTTTCAAAACCTCTTTTGTTTTTCTATAATTCACTCATGGCACTTTTACTTGAGCTAACGGTAGGAATGAGCAAAATAAATAGTATATTTTAATCCTATAGAGGACAGTACATCGGTAAAAGGTCTGGGGTGGTTTCACAGGTACTAGATTCAAGCTCATGTATGCTGATCACAGTGTTGCTCAGCTCATGCAACGAGCTCCGATTATAGGAATCCACTCAGTGTAAGCCACACAACATCGATTCCGAGAAATTAAAAAAAATAAAGTATTTTGAAAAAATGGCCAAGTGACTTTTTCTATATGATACAAATTTTATTTTAGACAATTTTACCCGTAACACAAATAATTATATAAATTCTTGATTTATGATTTTTTTTTTAACAAAAGATACCAGCAAAAAAAAATAAGCTAGCATTTCGTTAGTGACCTGGTAAGTTTTGGTTACCTATTAAACATTTTAACAAAAATAAAATAAATTTATATGAAATAGAGTATCTATTAAAGTTTTTATCTTTTTAAATAAGTTTTGAATCCCATCCTGAAAACATAAAATAGCTGTTTTCAAAATTTCCATTATTTGGATTACTGAATCCAAAAACAGTTTTCACGAACAAATAAGATATGAATTCTCTACCAAATAGACTCCTAAGCAACTTAATTGGAAAGTTTATTGGAAAGTCCTTTTGTTCTTTAGTCATTCTCGATAACCTAATCAATCTGCTTCACCTTTTCCAAAAGGAAGTTTCGAGTAAAGGAATTTTCAAAAACTCGATCTACAACCCCATTAGGATTAGAGGCATTCATCCCCGAACAACCATATCCTACTAAGAGAGGTTCTACTATCTCTTACGACTTAGAATCATCTTCTTAACCCAACTATAAATTAGATCCAAGTCATCTTCTTAACCCAACTATAAATTAGATCTAATCAAGCACACTTAACTTTATCCTCCCAAAAAGAAGAGAAACTTTATCAATATAAGCAATTACTATCAATTCTTTAAAACCTTTTATTAACCATATTTGCATGATCTCAGAATCCCCGATCTATTAAATTCCTATAGCATGTAATATTATATTCTTGTATTGGAAAAGAAATCACACAAGAAAAATATCACAAACCCCTAACCAAGATAATCAATCTAATAGCCTTATGCAAGTTGGAATTTTCTTGTCCGATAATGTTGCAGCATTTTTTAAAATGTCCATCGCATGAACTCAATAATAACTCGGTGCTAAAATCTCAGAGATACTGAATTCTCTAAACCATACAAATAGGCTAATGCAGATCACAAGACGTTCAGGTAGAATATGTTCCCAAAAATCTGATTAAAAGGAGGCTACATGATACAAATCTTTCTAATGATGGAGTTCTACTGACCACTCTTCACCACAACGACGACTCCAAGTGGGATCGCTCGGGTTGAGGAGAATGAACATCATACAAAGGCTTAGTACCCATAATTTGTACCGTAGACAGAGCCATAGCCTCCAGCATGACCAGCATGAGCAGCCGGGTTTGCAGGGGGAGATGCATAGACTGAACCATGAGCAGCAGCATAAGAGTTGTAGCCTTGGTCTGTCGTCGCCCCAGCTTGAGCCTGGGCTGGGGCTCCAGCACCGGCCATGAAATTCTGCAACACAATCAAATACGGATTATTAAAAGACCATAGATCGCCCCGAAAAGCAGCAATTCCACCTCCACAAGTTAGTATTGATGTTTATACGATGTCAACAGTTAGCACTGCCCCAACTTTTATTCACGGAGAATTAAACTCCAGGTGGGGAACCAGAAAAAACAAAAGACGACCTTTTTCCCACCAATAACTCAATGAGAAGTTATTTCGACTAGATCAACCAAATGGATTGATATCCACATAGAAAAAACAATCTTCACTATGTTATTTTCGAAGTTGAGCCACCAGAACTATGACACCACTACAAATCCATCAAACCCTTCCCAGCCGGGCTTCTTCCAGAAAGAAAATATTTTAACTAAAAAAAACTATTACTGAAAGTTGACATCATATCTGAAGTCTTCGGACTGAAGAAGATGCAAAATCAGAAAGAGTCATAAAGAATAATTGCCTGTATAAGCTGTTGGGCTGCTTGGACTTGAGACGCAGTTCCACTCATTTCAACTGTCATTTCCCCTGGGACCCCCCTCGTTTCTTGGATGGTAACAGTGGCCCCACTAGCACGCCGAATGTAGCTGATACTAGCACCAGCAGTTCCAATAACAGCGTCAGCAAAAGACAATGGAATCTGCATTTGTTGAGTTGTCTGCAAAAGTACAACAAAAACCAATATGCACATCTTAAAAAATTACCAGTTTTAGAAGGAAAAAGTAAGCAGGTCTCTCAAGGATGCTCCATCAGAGTTACTTTTGATAAACTACTGGGTTCACAAAGCCACATCATATATAAGAGATCAAATTCTTTTCTGTGATATAACACATGAATGCAAAAAAAGGCATTAACTAACCTGTGTGACAATTGAAGGCGCTGCCTGTGCATTCGATGATGCATGTACACCCATAGGAGCTTCCCTTCCATAAGCAGAAATTCCATGATGGGGTTGCTTATCCATAACTGATGGCATATCAGCAGGTGGGTAATAGTTGTCAAACTGACGAGGAGGTGGCATGTATTGAGGATTCGGTCCAAAGCCGGGACCACCCCCAGCATTTGGTGGCATTCCCTGAGGCGGGCCCCAAGATTGGTGTGGTGGCGGCATGTGATCCATCTGTGGATTTGACATCTGCATCTGGTTTTTTGGCATTTGGGTTGGGAGGAAGAGAGAAAAGGAAAATTTAAGACTATTCATTCTTCAAATGGAATTGGCTGACAACTCATAGGGAAATTATACTCACATTCATTTCAAAGACTGGGATAATACTACGGTCGACCAGGAACTTTCTAAGATGCGAAGCAATGAGTTCCACTGCTTTGTGCACACCAGCTGGATCACCTAGTACTTCAACAACTCTATCATCTTGGAGAGCAAAAACAGGTAAATCCTCTGCAGTACTCCAATTCCCGAATGACAAGGGTAGGATTCATTAGAAAGATGAAAACCAAGATGGATAGATAATTATCAATTTAAAAACGAGTAAATAGAAAACAAGAACATATGTTTTCCCTGACAAATATACGACCATTAAAGAAGATAATCAAATCGCATCTAAAAGCCCACCTGAACCAAGAACTCTAACTATACAATTTGACTCTTCTTGAATGGATTTAACAGTCCCTCCCTGCTTCCCAATTAAACTTCCTGCTTGCGAAGCTGCCACTAGCAGTCTCGTTGAGACTTTACCTCCCATGCTGGGAGCATGAGCATTATCACCCTCCAGACCATCAACAATGCGTTTATGAACCCTCAGAAGTCCATCCACCGCAGGAGGAAAAGTAGAATCAGGTTCCTCCTTTGCAGACACCATTACCTATTAAATGAATAATACTATCTTGTAAGAAATACAAATTCTCATCAGAAATTCATTAACTACCAGAAGGAAAAAATAAAATCAAATGGGGATGAAGACTAGAATTTGAAATTCTCCTTCCTAAATAGACAGAATCGCCCATATAACAAATACAAAGCACAAAATACTTCGTCAAATTTTAGACCCAGCTCGTGAGCTCCACAGATAGGGAAAACGCGTGAAACGCCAACGAATGAAAAGACAATTAAATTATAACATCTATTGGAAAAAACCAAGGACAAGCAGATCATAATCCCAAGCTCCTACTGATACGAGTTACTATTAAATACACCTCTTATAAAAGATATGAACAGTATCATATCAGTTTATTAAAACACAAACTTCCAGATGTATTAAATGCAAAATACACAGAGAGAGTCCCCTTCAATATGCATAGTCAACAATGACAAATTAAATATATCTGCAAAGATCGTAAAAAAGCCACAAAATAGAATGTACACTACATATACGACATCAGCCTTCAAAAACTATTCTATCAGTTTCCATTCAGATCTCCTACAAGATTTCCAACCCTTACCCATCCAACTTGCTTAACCTCTTCGTTTAATTTTGAGCACCTTGAAATTAGAATAATAAAGTTGCCAAAATTATAAGGTAGACCAAACAATTCAAAAACATTCTCTTTCAAACTATATATCAAAAGAGGCAAGGGCGGAAACAGCGGATGATTCTTCTTCCAATAATAGATCATGCAAGACACAACTTGGAGGCTGCAAATATCTATAAGGGTTTCTTTTCCATAATAGATCAAAAGGGTGCAGCACATGTTGAAATTTGTGAGCCAATTTTGAACATGGAGGTTATTTATCAGCTTTCTATGTTTCAAGAAATTAGATAATATAGTTGTTTTCTTCATTTAAATTCATGAGTTTAGGTTTCCACACTATTATTTTATATGTTGTTGGATCATGAACTGAATTATTGGAGAAGATACCATAGAAGCATAAGCAAAAATACAACACTTCTATTTGATATTGGTGATTAATTTTCAGTTTTAGTTCCTCTCAATTTTCATTTTAATCATATCTTTAACCATGTCAAAACATCTTAAAAATTACTAAAAATTTTTAACTCTTTACATTTATCATTATGTTTTCTCTATTATTTATATTCATTATCCCGTTGGAAATCTGGACATCAATCTTCAGATCTGAAGTTACCAGAGATATTGCAGTGCTTCATGGTACAAAAGTTCCAGATGCCTACGTGTTATTCAGATCAACTTTTCAGAACTTTGTAATGTTGAATGCTGATCCCCGCATCTGGATATTTGGTTCTTCAAATATGGGATCCTATTGAAGATTGAGTCGTTGCCTTAAAATTTGCACACAACCTGCACAGATTCATTTTTTGTTACTAGAATCAAGGCAACTGTATCCATATTCTGGGATAACCTGGATTAGTCTTACATTCCTTTTTGTTTTATAATGTGGTTTTTACATGTTTAAAGGGTCAATCTTAGTTTTTGGAGATTTCCTTTGCCAGTTATAAAGCTGAAAGAGAACCATATTTAACACCCATTGTCGGGGTGTATAAGCACATATCTTTGAAAGATGGAGCTCAATCTTCCCCACAAGTGTTGGCAGATCCATTTTAAGAGTGCCCAGTGGTTTAATATATTCAAATGCTTGTTACATCACTCGGAAGAATTTTAGAACATTATCCGACTTCTATATTTTTTAAACAGCGATTTAATGGCTTTTATTATAAGTTCTAATCAAATTAACAAATGATAATATCTTATTAACTCTTTAGTCTGAAATTTTCCCAGGGATCTTAAGAATCGTGTCTACATCATTAAACGGCCATATGACTGACGTCACATGCTTGAATATGACAAACCAAGAGTATAAATAGAGATTAAACAATTGATTAAAAGAAGCTAATACTCGAGCGGATTGGGCTAATCATACCATGCAATGCCCAATATTTGCCTAACTTGAATCAAGGTGCCATATATATTTAGAATATGAAAATTAAGAAAACCCAAAACAATAATTCTTACTGAAGCATCAATATTCATTAAGAGATAAATTAAAAACTGGATAGATCGCATTAATTTGATATTATATCATCAAATAATTTACACCAAAAACACTAGCTAAATTATAATAGAAAAGTTATCATCAAAAAGGGGAATACTTACAGCTCTTTCAGCTGTTCCAGGAGGACCATCAAGAATTTTAATCCGAGCTCTCGTTTCCTCGACTATTTTCTTGATAAACTCACCTTTGCGACCAATTATACTACCAACCTTTTGTGCAGGAACCAACATTCGAAAAACACTCTCTCCTGGCCATCCCGGCCACTTCTTCTCACCTACTACAGCCAGAGAATCCTCATTATGCACCTGCTTTTGCTCAGGCTCTAAGGTTTCTTGTACATGTTCATTCTCAAGTTCGTGCAAGGGCTCTGGCTCCTGAGCATTATCCTGTTCCAGTGTATTATCCTGTCCCTGAGCATTCTCATATATTTGTGTATTTTCATCTACTTGATTATCTTCAACATGCGTGTAGTTCTGATCCACGTCAGCCATTCAGATTAAGCTGCAACAAACTATCATATTCAGTAAAGAAAAAAAGATGTTCTCAATCACGTCAAATCTTGCTCATATATAAGTGAACTTGACAATCGACGAGTATACAGAGAATTCCCACCACATAAAGAACAGAGACAAAAAAAACAAATCCCAAGTGAACAATAAAAATCTAAAAACCCCAAAATCTCAGGCTTATCCCATAAAATTGAACCGTAACCCCTCGGAAAATAAACCAATCCAAACAAACTACAAACCCGAATGACATACCAGCATTCAGTTCCTTCCGTCGCAAACATTAACGCAAGAAAATCAACAAACAAACGGAACAGATGACAAAGCACAAGAATAAACAAAAATCTACGGGAAAAAGAAACCCTAGAAATATAAGTCACCGAGCAAACAAGCTTATTTTACCATACCTACTCAATAATCGAGGAGAGCTAGTAAAAGAACGAGAGAATCGAGTAACTGGAACTGAAAAATCGAATGTGGCCCTAGGGTTTTAGAGATTTGGTGGAGGAAGAGGAGAGAGAGAGAGACAGGAGAAGCCGTGCGACCACAATCGTAAAGAGAGGGCCGGTGGATTTTATCTTATAACTTATATGCATTTTTCCTTTTCTTTTTTTTCTTTTCCTTTTTTTTCGGGATTTTGAGGAAATTTTTTTTTTTTCTAAAATATGAAATTGAAACCCCTTTTTTCATTAAAAAAATCTATAGGAAATTATAAAAATAGCGCAAAAACTTTATTTATTTATTCATATATGTATATATATATATATATATTTATACACGCCATTAAATTTAAAATTTTATAATATAATTTCTCTAAAATCTCTCATAGGCTTATAATTTATAGATTTGCATATTGTTTTCATAATTCAAATGCATCTGAAATTTTTATAAAAAAAATAATAATAATAAAGATACATATGAAAATAAATAAATAAATAGAATATACACCATTAAATTGTCAATTTGGTCGTAGCAATGTGCGCTTAAATATTAAAATAATTTTTTATGCGTAATTTACATTAAAACATAACATTTGAATTTTAAAATAATAAATATAATAAAAACAAAACTAATATCGAACTTTGAAAGATTGGCACCAAAAATGTTCAGGTTTTTTTTCGTATAGATCTTTGTCTTTTCAGTTTCATAACGTTTATAACGTCTTTATTTTTTTCATAATCTTACCATTGTTATTGATCATTGACAAAAATTTTTAAAATTTAATTTTGAAGTTCTTCCTAGGTATAATTTAGCTCTGTTTAAATGATTTTGGGCAATCCATAATTAAATTATTGTAAAACAATATACATTATAATAAATTAGAGTCAACTCAAACATAGTTCAATAATTAATGCACATCTATACTCTCTAGAGTTACATGTTTGATTTCTCATCATTATATTTGTTGAACTAAACAAAACATAATAAATTAGTTACTTTTGTATGACATTTTTAGAGATAATAACACATACTTCTTATAGGTCATTTCTCGACCCATCAACCAACGTTAGCAGTTAAAGACATCTATCTCCAATAAAGTGGTTGTGATATCGTTTTCATTAACTTTTTGTTTTTTTGTTGGATCGTTTATGAGTAAAAATTTTATTTATCATTTATAAGTTTAAAAAATATATATAAATATTTTGAGAATTGTTAGTGTTTCTACTTTCTCATGAGAATTTTTGTAGCTAAGTTGAAAATCAACCAATCAAAAACCAATTCTTTAGTAGCTAGCTTAGCTCAAAAGTCAACAGAAAAAAATGTGAAGCAAAAAAAAAAAAAGAAAATAAGAAAAACGAGTGGAAGTAATGAGAGAGAGAGAATGAAGATTAGAAAAGAAAATTCAAGATGAGGCATCCTTTTATCAGTTCATTAGATCACCATGAAGCTAACAAATGCAAACACAGACAGTAGGCTCCCTTCTCAACACACACTTGATAGAGAAGAAAGGTTTTTTTTTTTTTTTCTTTGTCTTTTTGGTGATGGCATGGCATCTCATTGAAAACTGTAACTGTCCCAAAAAAAAGAAACTAGAAAAGAGAGCAATTCAAAATCAAAATCCCCTATCCTATAATATTGCATTTGTGATATTCTTAAACTACAACAATGTAACATCTTCAAAATGTCCCCTCTCCTCCCCCTACTGCTCCGGCTGCTCCTTGCTTTCCTCTGCCTTTTTCTCTTCAGCAGCTGCCTCTGGCGCAGCAGCTGTGGCCGCAGTCATCAGAGAATCAAATTTCTCAGACTTCCCCAGAACAATCTCAATCTATCAAAATCAGAATGAAAAAACAAACAAAAAAGAATTTCAGATTCCACAAGAAACAAATCCTTGGTCTACACAGATTATGAGCTGTGAAATGATGCATATCTTTCAACTTCATCAAATTGAATATTATAGTCATGTTTTGGAGCGAAAATCATTTTTCACTAGTATATCACTGCCATGACAGAATCAAAATCACTATTAAAACTAGATTATCAAGCTATGTTTGTTCAAAACAACTGATGGATTTTATAAAATTCAAACGAGAAGACACTCAGAATTAAGCTATAAAAATGTACAAATCGAACTATGAAGAACAGAACATACCCAAATAATAATCTCAGATCCCATATAAGAATGTTAATAACTTAACTGATCAAGAGTTATTTATTTATTTTACCACTTATGGCAAATTAGATAAAAGATTGAACTTACCTTGGCTTTCTGAACCAAACGACCTTTGTTCTCATCTTTCATGCCAACTGTAGAAGTCAAAACTTCTGTTTCATAACAAAATCATGCGTTATCAGTAATCACCGTATCACCATAGATAATGTGAATGAATGGAACAGAAATTAGCATTGAAAACGAAGAGACAATAGTGTTAATTACTCTTCTCTGTAGCCAACCCATTGTTCTTTAGAATCTCCGCAATTGTGACAACAGTAGTGATTGCTGTAACGATGCAAAGAATTCGAGCCAAGAAAACCAAAAATTCGTCAGATGCCATTTCTGGACGATATATCGATATCAGAAAAAGAGATCTTTGGAAAAGAGAAAAAAAAGTTTACCCATTCCCAGGGCAGAAAGCTCAACCTCATTGTGCTGTTGAATATACCTCTGAATCAAGAACAATAACAAGCACGTAAAAAACTGTTGTCTCGAATATCGATCTCATCGAAATGGAAGATCGGTGAAAGGGGATGATTTTAGATTATTACATTTAGGGCAAACAGAGAGCAAGATGATTTAGAATCGGTATCGAATTAGGAATTGCGGAAGATTTCTCGTTCAAATTCTAAAACAGACGAATTGTGCAAATAAATTTGTTCAAATTCTACAAATCACCATGGATAGTTCATAGTTCATGCACATTTCCATTTCATTTATCGAGAACCAAAAGAACACAAAACGAAATCGCGATTCTCCCGAATTATAATCCAATCAAATAATCAAAGAATCAAAGAATCAAAGAATCAAATAATTAGAGAATCTGTTATGTATACCTTAGCGAGGTTAACGTAGAAGAATAGTGGTTTCTTGGTGTTTGAAACCTGAATTCTGTTCTTCTTCTGTGTTTCAGTGGCTCCCGATACTGCAATCGTCGCCATTCCTTGATTTCACACCTCGCTGTTTCTACTCTCTCTCTCTCTCCCTGCTCAAACAGAAAATTTTCTCTGGCAATTTTCTCGGGAAAATCTCAGGAGCGGGAAAAATTGGAAGGGGTTGGGGCTCGGAAAACTAGCTGGAAGTCGTTAAGAAGATGGATTTTATAGGGCGGGAGAGCGGGAAGGTGAAACGTGGCAGCCTTTGATTGGATGGAGAAATGGAAGTTAGTTCATTGACCGTTATGGGCGGAATCGGAGATGGTCAAAAGCCTTAGTATTTGTGAAGACAGTTATTTTTTAGAGATTCTGAAAGCATTTCACCGAATACCCAAATTACCCTCTCTCGCTCTCTCCCTCTCTGGACTGTTTTGTCATTTTGTTACTAATTACATTTTTTCAAAAGTTAATAAGCGAAATTGAACAATTATATTATGCAAAAATCATCCACAGATTATAAGGGTTTTTATGATCGTAGTTCTGAAATTATTTTAATTTTATCCATTTTTTTACTCCAAACTTATGAAATTATTGTAATTAAACTAATTTGATAAATGTACAAACCACCCCAATAATGAAACTATTATCGGATTTTTTAGATGAGAACATATTTTTATATTTATTCCAAAATTTTAAGCCTATACTTATTTTAATTTGGATATCAACTTTTTTTTAGTACAATAAATATACGGATTGAGATTTAAATTTATGACTTTAATAAAATGAATAAATACCTTAATTGTTAAGCTTGACTCATGTTGGATATTAAATATGAAGATAAGATTAACATTCAATCGGTTAAGATATATCATCCCATAAATGGTTATACATTCATTTGATTCTTCACTCCATAGCTCTTTATCTTTGAATTAAAAAAGAAAAAAGAAAAATTGAATTGAGATGCATAAAACTGGGCCAAGGAAAGCCCAAATTTAAAAAGTAAACTGAACCAAAATAACACACCTAGTCTTGGCCCATAATGCAATCTATTTTCTTCCGTATCTTTTATTTTTACAAAGTATGAATAAGAGGCGCCGGAATTGGACAACTTGTGATTGCCAATATGAACCGAGTCCAGTAAATAAATATATATTTATCTAATCAAAAAGTTGTGAATTTCTTAAAAAAAAGAATCTAATCAAAAATTATATTTTGTTGATTGAATTTGAACCATTATTAGTAGATTTTAAAAGAAATATATATATACACATACATACATTATTAAGTAAAAAGTAACTTTTATCTATTTATTTAGAGTTTTACAATTCAACCAAAAGTATTGTTCGACTAAGCAAGACATCAATAATCTTTTTTAGAGTTTCAAACTTTTCTCAAGTCCACAAAATCTATTTTGAAAAGCACATAAAATAGGGCCTAAAAATATTGTGGACCCCACAAACTAAAATTTATAGATCTTCTCCTGCACACGAGCACCGACATGTATGTACAAAGTAAATAATAGGAAAGAAGATTGGACCAAACAAGATTTGTGTGAGATCTAAATTATAGGAGAAGAAGTTGGCCTAAAATTGGCTTATTCTTAGAGAAGGGACAACGACATGCCATGGGCAATGGGGCCAAGCATGCTTAGGGAATATTTATTTACGGGTTGGTGACATTTTCTTTAGAATATGATTTCATAATGTTTAATCACATCAAGCCTAATTTCAAAAATATTATCTTGTGGGGGCATTTCTCGCCTTAATTAATTGTCCTTTTCAATCTTATTTTGAAATAAATTTGCCTAATAAAATTCATCCATCTCCAATTATCGTTGTTTTCTTTCCCCCATTTCTCTAACCATAGTTGAGAAGAAAAGAAACAACAAGTTTATAATCGTGTTTATGAAGACTGCGAGTACTCGTGTTCATTAAAATCAGCTTAAAGAATTAACTCGCCAACCAAAACATAGCTGAGCGGATTGAGGTACATATATTCAATCACGAGTTTAAGAGTTCGAATCCCCATCCAATTTTAAGAATTAACTTCTATGTATAACAATTTTAAGAAAGACCATTAAAAAAAAAGTTTAAATACTATTTTTGTTCTTATACCTTTTCATGTATTTTCAATTTTTGTTCATTTTAACCACTATACTTTCAAAATATCGGTTATAATCTTGGTACTTTTTAAAACGAGACCAATTTGGTCTATAACTATAAAATTATAGCACAAAATTTATACACAATAGAAATCTTTTAATACAAATTTATGGCTAAGTTTCAAGAAATTTAGTGAGTGAATTATCATGSTCAAATTATGATGGAGAGAAATTTGAGAAATGAGATGAAAAAGAAAATTAAATAATCTAAATAGTTAATTTTTAAAAATACAAGAACCAAAATAGGGTACAATAATCAAAATGAACCTAAATTAAAGTACATGAATCAAAATAGATGTTTTTAATAATAAAAAAAAACTAAAATAGATTTAAACCTTAAAATTAATATTACTTTTTAAGTAGATATCACTCCTAGTCCTTAGATATTGTATGAATGTCAAGATCAATATTATAAAATATAAGGTCATGGTCCCATTTGGTAACATCAGGTCAATTAAGTTCTCTTTCATTTGTTTTTTTTAATTATAACCCTCATTTATTGTTTCACACCTTTTCATTTCTTATTTTTTAGAAAAAGAAAAATAAATATGTATTTTTTTAATATAACAAATGTGGGAATGAGAATTTCCTTGATCACAAGGAAAAAAACAAAATATTTTAACGTATAAACTATGTTCATGTTGGTAAAAAAATGAAAAACATAAATTCCAAAGTAACTTTTGTTATTTATCTCAAATTTTAATCTTTTCTAAATTCAAAATTGTATGTTATATTTCAGTTTTTATAATGATTAATTATGTATTTGGTAGGTAAAGAATGATAAGATAATGTTTTTATTTATGTTTCTGTTATATATATATATATATATATATATATATATTTTAAATTTTTATATAAATAAGAACATTTCTTAAAATGGAAAGAAAAAAATGTTAAATTATAAGTTTAATCTCTAAACTTTCAATATTGTGTTTGACAAATCCACTTCAAGGTTACGTTAAACTTGTGATTTTATCTGAACAAAAAAAAAGTTAATAATTATCAAACGCTTAGTATTTCTTAATAACTAAAAATTAAAACAACTTCTTAGTTTTCACTCTCACTTACAAATTAAAGAACTATTTTCTAACCATCTTTAACTTCTAGGTGTGTGAAACATAGAGAAAGGTCATTGCATTGTATATATATTTAGTGAAGTTTCTTGAAAAAGTGCTATTTTCTCTTTTCAAGTAATGGATTAAAAAAAGAAACATATGCTTGGATAGGTCATTTTCTATGTTATAGCATTCCTCCAACTTCGACNACTTGTGAGTTTTTTTGTCTTCACCTTCCAAAATGATGTTTAAATTTACGTGGTAGGCCAATTTTATGCAGTTATATATCTATAAATGATTAAATTTATTTTAACAATAAAAACTTGAGTTTTTTTAGTTCATTTGTGATTTGGTTTAAAAATTTAATGACATATAAGATCTAATTTTTCTGTAAACCACATTTTTTTTGTTCCTTTTTAAAAAGTAGTTTCTTTTTCTATTATTGAATATTTTGTCGAAGCTATCATGTCGTGAGATCGAAGTTTATAGTACAAAAATTTCCTTATTTACCCCATAGAATTGTGCTTGTATATGTACTTGCATATTGAAGTTCTAAAAAATAAGCATTATGTAGTTTTAAAGATTTAATTATAGTTTCAATTTTTATATAATTACAACCATTGCATTGGGCATTGATAAACTTAAATCTTAAAACTCCACATTTGCTTTATAAACTCATAACTAAAAAATAGAAAAATATACCTTCCTTGGAGGTATAAAAAACTCAATATTTTTCAATCAAAAAAAAAAAAAAACTCAAATTTGACACTCAGTTAAATTATCAATTTCGACTCATTATGTTTCAATTTGGTTCCTATGATATTAAAATTTTCAATTTAGTTCTTATAATTTGGTCAAACTTCACAAAATTATCCAATGATGATCATATTAAACATGTGACACATATTTTATGTATGTGAGATCTTGTATTTTTTAGAACAAAAATGTATAGGATGAGGGATTGAAAACTCGACCTCAATGAAGGTAACAAATAGTCTTTGTACTTTTGATTTTGGTTCATTTTAATCAACATTTGTTTATTTTAGTTTTTATACTTTCAAAATGCCTATTTTGGTCTCCGTACCTTTAAAAATGAACATTTTGGCCCCTATTTACAAAATTTTAACACAATGAAAATCCTTAAATACATATTCAAAGCTGTATTTCAAGAAATTTAGATAATGAAATGTCATGCAAAAATTTGGATCAAGATAAATGAGATAACAAAAATTAAGACTAAAATTGTAACCTTTTAAAATCACAAGAACGAAAACGAATATCTTGAAAATATAAGAACTTAAAATGAACAAAAGTTGAAAGCATAATAACTAAATATTTTAAAAGTAAATTAACCAAAATCAATCAAAGTCGATAAAATACAACTATCAAAAGAGTATAAACCCGAAGAGGGGAAAATAATGAAACAAAAATGTCAAATAAGTGTTGATTGATATCACTATACATATGGTTGAAATTTCCATCTCTAGACAATGCCCTGATTTTGCTCCAATTTTGTCTCATTAAGTGCTTTACAATGAAACTCCACACAAAAACACTTTCTCAAAGAAAGTGATTTAGTGGGCCAAAGAAAAATGGTCAATTCAAATTATGGATCCCAAACAATGGCATCACACCCACCAATTGGAAGCCATTATTTCACTGCAAAAGAGAGACTTTGAAGACAGATGCTTGTGTTGTGGGTTAATTAAGAAGACAAGCTCTAATTTGGTGGGAGATAATTTAACTTTGAGTAAAAGAATGATTAATCAATAGGGTAATTATGGGTTGGATGTCATTAATCAAAAGAAGAAGGAAAAAAAAATGTTTTCTAGAAAAATAGTTGGAATTATTTTTTATTTGACTTTCAAAAGTTTGGCCTTCTTTCGTTTATGAAATTATTTGAATGGATCTACTTTGTCTAGTTTTCTTTGATTTATAGTTATTTAAAAAAAAAAAAGATTGTTGGAAAATTTTGTAGATGTGAAAATTTAAAAATAATTACTAAAAAGATCCATCACTTATTCATCTTTTATTTATGGTTTAAATCTCATTTTTCACTCTAACATTCAAATCTTTACATGTTCAAAATATTGTTTAAAGACAATCAAAATTCATTTGAAATCTCAATATGACTCTGAGTAACTGTTTACCTGTTAGGTTTCTATTAAATAATCTGTTAAAATAATTTAAGCGAATCACTAAAATAGTTTTATACAGAGTCGATGGATGACTAAAAAAATGTTGGAAAATTTTGAAAAGGAAACCTAATCAACATGGGTAGATAAGATTTAAACCTATTTATTAATATTGTGCTATCTAATGATATCAATCCATGATTTTATAGTTCAATTTAATATAATTCAAGTCCTCATATACCCATATTTTTCTTAATAAATTCATATGAGTAATCGATTATATTCTAGAAAAAACATGAATTTTGTACATTCAGGTGGAAGTTGGGTTTTTTTCTCACTTGAATTAATATTGTTGAAAAAATGAAAAATTGTAGTGAAGTATGACAAGTCATTTTCAAATTGTATAGCAAATGCCATAAATTTTGGGTAATTTCTAATTTAATCCAGAATCCTTGACAATGATATTATTCGACCGACTAACCACTATATACTATGTTTCTTTTATTTAACCCAAAAAAAAAAAAAAAAACTTTGTTACAATTGGACCAATCTTTTGACAATGCTTTAAATTTAAAGATCTCGATTTTATCATAATGAAAATACGCATCAAATATTCATGTTGTTATTATTATTATTATTATTATTATTATTATTATTATTATTATTATTATTATATATATATATATATATATATATATATTTTTTTTTTTACTTCAACAAAATGTCAACCTCTTACTTTTTAATGGATGAGGTATATAATTCTCACATTTTTAAATTAAGCTATAAATTTTAATATTATATTTACATTGATAATGTATTTATTAAAATTTATACTTTTTAGATTTGGTCAACCTTTTCGAACCTTATAAATATCAATAATTTTCAAACCTTTCTATTGATGGAAGTGTCAACGAAACTACATTGATATATAGATAGGTTTACTTCGTCTTTCACTATTTCTCCAATATGAAGAAAAAGGAAAAAGAATTTAAGTATGGATCAAATTATATTGTTATACCAAAATGTCGTAAATTCAAATTCTCATCCATATGATGTTGTTGTATTAAAAAATATATATAAATTTAAAATACGCATAAAAACCAAAAAAAAAATATATATATATATATACATATATATATATGATGACTGAATGGTAATGGAAACTTCTCAAGCTTGTATTTATGACTCAGGTCATTTATTTTTCACGGGGTGGATACAATTTCTAGTAAATGCATTTTTTATCTTTAAACTTTTTGTTTTAAATTTTAAATTCAAATATATCCTGAAAAACTATATTAAAAGAATTACTCACTAATTAATTAATTAATTATACACCAATCAACCAACAAAATATTTAATATCAAACCACATGAATAGTCCGATTGAAAAAATAATATTCCAATCTAAGTCAAACAAATAAAAGAGCGCACAAATATAATTAATAGGTATCTCATATGACAAAATAGTCTTAATTGAATAACAACAATGATATCTAGCTATTTCAAATCTTCAAAAAAAATTGATCATCTTTTAGAATTATTGAATCAAAATGAATATTTTTTAAAATAAATAAATTAAAATTAACCCAAATTGAAAATAGACGACTAAAATATATACATTTTTAAAGTATATAGATTGAAAAAACGAAAATCGAAAGCTGGGAAGTACAGGAATAAAAATAATATTCAAACCATAAATTTATGTTAAAATTAAATTTTAAAAGAGATCACAGTAGAGGAGAAAATGATGAAAGTTAGTTCATAGGAGGTGGGGATGGGTATGGTTAGTTAATAAATAATAATTATAATTTATAACGATGTTTTATTTGGAAGGACAAAATTCCAAACAAGATTCCCATTTCAGGATTCGGACCCATTTTGGTCATTTTCGGCTCATCTGTTGTCCTCACCGTCAACGTCAACTCACGCCGTTAAACTAAACTTTCTTTTTTCTTTTTAATTGAGATTAGAAAAGTATAAATTAATTCCATTAATTAATGGTGATGGAAGCTTTTGAAAATGAAAGAAAATTAAAATAATTAAGAAAGAGATTAAAGAGCTTTCATTGTCTGATTAGCCCAACTGAAAGCAACGACCTTTTTTCACTAATCACATTTTCCAATACAATCCATCCATTTTCATATATTCCTTTTTATTTTTAAAATATTAGTTAATTATTCAATCAAATATGTCATATAATAATAATAATAATAATTGTAGTAGGTTTGATTTTAGGCGAAATCGATAATTGACAATAATATTTTATGAATTATTCCTAACTCAATACGATAGGTTACGGATCACGAAACTAAATAATATATGACATTATATTTCCTTTTTTCAAATTATTTTAAACATTCTATTTTGATAGCGATATTTATAATTTTTTATTAGGTAGTTATATTTGTGTCAAACCTAGCTCAAAGTTAAAGTATTTTTTTTCTTGAACTCAAAAGTTTAAATACCCTTTCAAATTTGTTGCACTAAAAGATATTTGACATACATATTATTGTTATTTATTTATTTTTATGAAAAAATTACATATTGTTATTATCATTTTTCAAGTATAAAAGATATTTGATGTGTGAGGATTGTTTATGATATGCAAATATAACATGAGGATAGCTCAATTGGTTAAGAGATTTATACAACTACAAGATCGTGAGTTCGAATTCTCACCTCCACATATTGTACTAAAAAATGTATTTATTAATTACTTAGAACTAAAACGTCTATTATATTGGAAGTTTACAAACTAAAATACACATTTTGAAAGTTGAAGACTAAAATGATGGTTTATTTAACGTTTAAGGTCCAAATTATTATTTTTCAAAAGCTCACGAACTAAAATAGAAAAATCTAGCTACTTAGACGCTAAAATGAACATAAGCACAATTCAGTGGTAAAATCATATATATTCAAATTCTAACACCCTCGTATTTGTTTTTTTAAGTATAACAAATAGAAAAATCTAGCCTCGTAGAGACAAAAAATAACTTAACCATAACTTTGGTAAAAATATGTGTGGTCAAATTTTCACACTCTCATATTTGTTTTTGTATAAGTCTAACAAATGTGAGAGGATAGAGATTTAGAACTTCGACCTGAAGAAAAAAAGTACATATTTTTATCGTCGAACATCAATTAGAAATAAAATTATCTTAATTAAAATGAAACTTTTAATACAACTTTGGTTAATAAATCATCTCATACTAAATTTAAAATGGAAACTAATTCATTATTACATTTTAAAACGTGAGTTTGAGCGGAGTATCTTTCAACTTCCATTCTCTCATCCTCTCCACATTATTTGTCCTTATACAAGATGATGACGTGGCAAAACTTGATATCTTTGAGGTGGGCCCCTCGTCCCACAGACCAAGAACAAGAGAAGCAAAAAAAAAAGGTTTTTTTTTTTTGCAAAGGAAAAAAAAAAACTTTTGTCTTAGCGTGGCTTTTTGCCTCCACTAATTTTTCAAACTGCAGCGTTATCGTCCGACGCCGTCAGACTGGCAATAAACAAACAGCAGCACCCAACTAAATTTATCCCAGCAAAAAAAATTATGAAAAAAAGAAAAAGAACCGATCTTTAATCTATATGCTATAATTAACGAGAAAACATCTAATCCATCCAGCAGCAAAACACCGATAAAAGGCTTTGTTTTTCATTTTTTATTTTTGGGGTTTTGTTTTCTTTTCCGACCATTACGCTAACGAAAAGGAAAACCGCTAACGTTGATTTGTAAAAAGGAAAAAAAGGAGAGAAAAAAAAAAGAACAAATAGAGAGGGGAAAAAAACCCCATTTAGTTGTTTTGTTTTGGTTTCTTTGTTTTGGGAGGGAGGGAGCCAGGGAGATCTTGTCAGATCGGCAAGGAGAGCTGGTTTTTCAAGGTGGGTCTTCGTTTTCTTTCTTTTTTTTCCTGTTTCTTCTTTAGTTTTCTAATGGTGGATATGGATCTTTCTTCTTTTTTTTTTCATCTTTTTTGCTGCAATGAGCTGAAACTGGCTTATATTCTTCTCTTTATGAGAATTTGTCGTCTTCTTTAATATGTTGCGTTGTTTTGAAGCTTGGAGAAATGGGTGTCTTTAATCTTTGCATGTGTTTATGGGAATCCTTTGGTATGTTCTCTGTTTCTCTCTTCTTTGTGTATTGAATTGGAAACTCTGCATTAACCCTTTTGATTTGGTGGGCCAATTCAAACCTTTGAATTTGTCCCTCTGCGTTTTGAGCTCAATTTTGAAGTTTTCTTCAGGATTCAATCTGATGTTTCTCTTGTGTTTTATGGGCCAACAATGGATATTCTTAGCTAGGAAATCAACCCCTGTTTGTAAATCTAGATTCTACCTAGTTTGGATGTTGTCAATGCACTTTTGGTTTCTTTTTAGCAAAAAGTTTTTTGGAAGTTATTGTCAAGTTGAGTGAGTGAGTGTAAATATGTAATTTGGATTATATGATCTTTAGTTTGCTTTTGTTTTTGGAAACTGATTCCATTTCTTTTTGAAGAATTTGATTGTGATGTTGTTTTTGTTTTTGTTTTTTGTGTTTATTTTTTGGTGCAGGGTCATGGGAAGGGAAATAGCTGGTGTGGTGGAGAAGCCAAATGGTGTTGTAGTGGTTTTAAATGGTGTTTCTCAGGACAAAGTCCATGTTTCCCCCAAAATTGCAGAAGAGGATATCAATTCGGAGGAACTCGGGGCAAACGAATGTAGCGAGGAGAATTCGTCTGCCGAAAATTTTCAAGAAAATGAGCCTGAAGTTTTAACCATCAAAAGCACAAACATTGATGCTAGCGTGCCTGTGCCCGTGCCCGTGCCCGTGCCCGTGCCCGCACCCACACCCGCGCCCACGCCTGTGCCTGTGCCTAAGGAGAGGAGAACTGTAGCACAGAAGATCAGTGACTTTAACAAGTCTATCTCACCCGGGACTATAGCTGTTTCTTCAAAAATCATGTGGGTGAACCCCAAGATTCAGCAACCAACCGTTCAGGCAGCAGAAAATAACGGGACATGCCCGCAAACCGTCGAGACCGAGCCTGCTCCAGCTACTGCAGACGTCACTTCACCAAATACTATCAATTTGCAGTCTACCAGCCCAAAGCAGAATTCACTGGTAAGTAAAACTTTTAGGAGTATCAATGCAGCCATATGTTTGACAATATTTCAACTACTAGAAGAAGCTTATATTAAGTAGGAAAAGTAGCGTAGGAGCAGACAAATACCGGAAAACAGCATCAGGACATTGATTTTAGGGGTTGATCTCCTGTTGGACTTCTTTTAAGCATTTTGACACAAATATAACCATGCCCTTTTATTCGGTTTCGTGTTTTCGTGGTCAATGGTTTCGACTGGAAGTAAGAAGACTAGTGTCATTAGGGTCAGTTATATACAAGTTTCAGCCTCGACTTCGATTTACTTCGAGTCTATGTGAGCGCAGAGCCGTTGAAAATGTTGATTCTGTCTATAGTTCAGTAGGAAAAGTATTTAGTTGCAGTACAGTTTTTACAAGGTGGAGAATATCCAATCCTCCTCAGACCTCTCCTTTCTGTATATTTTTCTTGAAGTATAGGCGAAGATTTCTGTAAGAAAGTGGAAAAGAAGGTTCACATAATTCTGATTTCAACATGTTTTACTTGTCTACAGCCAAACTCGCCTCAACCGTCGCATAAATCTTCAGAGAATGATCTTAAGAAACATCACGACGAAGAAGAAAACTGGTTTATCGCCTCCTCGTATCCTCTCTTCGATAACTATTACATAGAATTAAGTCTTTGTTTTAGTTTTTAAATGCTTAATTCATTCATAGAATCAGATTTTGTTATCCTTAGCCCATTCATAGTACTGTTGCATCGATTCGACAACTCAAATCTAAAGTTACCATCGGAACGGCTCCCACATTTAGATCGGCCGAACGTGCTGGTAAAAGGAAGGAGGTACTTCTGTTATTGTATGATCTAAACATTACCTTGCTGTTCGACCTGTGATTTCTCCATTCACTTATGAAATAAATTCTCTGTTCAGTACTACAACAAGTTGGAGGAGAAACACAAAGCTTTAGAGGCAGAGAGAATCCAATATGAAGAGAGAATCAGGGTATTTCTTGACTGCCACTTTGCTTCTGCATATCTATTCTTCTGCATTTTATATTTACAATGGTTTTCAGGTAATCGTCGAACGGTCGTCCTAGTTTGGTCTTTGATTTACTGCTTTAAAATGCTTGTAGGAAGAACAAGAAGCAGCACTCAAGCAGCTTAGGAAGGGACTAGTGATCAAAGCAAAGCCAGTGCCCAGTTTCTACTATGAAGGACCACCACCTAAAGTTGAACTCAAAAAGGTCAGTTATCGAAACTCTCTACCCATATGATCTTTCCTGTCTTAGGCTGTATAAGTCACTCAACGATGACCCGGTATGCCCTCTGGCCTCTACGTGTCGGGTAATTTCGAGTGTTGAAAAAGACTATGTTTCTGGCATGTTCATATTACCATGCTTGCAGATGCTTCTTTGTTTTATCATGTTCAAAAATTTTAACTAGAATCCTATGTCAGTTGCCATTGACTCGACCAAAGTCTCCAAATCTAACCCGAAGGAAAAGCTGCGGCGATGCGACCAACTTAAGCCTAGAGGAGAAGGGACAAGTATGCACACGAGCACAGCGCCACAGCTTCGGTAGTCACAAATCGGAAATGGCTGCCCGCAAAAGTAAAGGGCAAGCCAATGGACATATCAGCAACAACGACAACAAATCTTTTAAACTCAGTAGCCAAGCGAAGCACGATAAAGAGACGAGAAAACCGACACTTACGACGATCAATCAACACAAAAGTAATGTACACATCTCCATTCATTCATGAAAATCTACATTTCTCTAATGTGATAAAGAAAGAAAAAAACAAAACAAAACAAAAATAAGAAGAAAAAGAGGGGGGAAGAGAGAAAGGAAGAGAGAAAAGGCTTGTTCTTGGAGTTGCTAGTTTCTTGCCTGGTTATTCTTAAAAAGGAAATAGCTTGTTTTCTTTTTTACATCTAATGACTTAACTGAGTGAATTGTGCTAATATGAAATGTACATGTTTTTTTTTTCTTTTTTTTTCTTTTTTCCCTCTGAAAGTCACCATGATTTTATGTTGCATATAAGGAAAGATTTTGATTCAGTGTGGACTGTTGTATATACAGATAAATGCTTTCTTTCTCTCTTTTTGTGGCTAAGAGAATGATGTGGGGACTATAATTGGTGTATTAGATGTGATATAGTAAAATTAGAGAATGATTTTCTATGGTTTTTGGAGGGTGTTGATGGAAATGGATTGAATTTGATGTGCTTCAGATGGGGACTGTGTAACAATTTTGAACTGACATATTTTCAAATTTTATGCTTAAATTTATGCAAATCCAAATCCAACTCAGTGGAAATGGAACTTATTATTATCATCCTAAAAGTTGATGATTCGATCTCTCACTCGTACAACACATGGGGTGGGAGATTAAACCCACAACCTAGAGATTGTGAATATATGTTAATTACTGTTGAACTAGGCTCGTTTTAGCTCTGAGAACATTTTATTAAAAATTATTATTATTAAAATTTTTAAGAAACTGTTAATTTTTGTTCTCACATAAGAATATTGAACTTGTTTAACAGAAGAAGGGTTTGAAAACAAGAGAAGAAAGAAAGTTTCTTGGGTCCTGGAAGATACCACTACTTTGGAAGTAGTTTCAGCACGGTTTCAGTGCTAAATTGTTACATGTTGGTTGCTCCTCAAAGTTAACATAATTCTCTTTTCTCAACGTGCACTCGTGAGAAGAAAGGGTGGAATCGAAGACGAAGAAGACTTTGCTGGATTTTAAGAAGGAAGAGAAAAATGTTTCTGTAATCAAAATTGAATAAGAAAAATGTTTTTCGAATTAATCAACATTAATTAATCCATTTTTTGCTTGTTTTCTAATTCAAATAAAAGAAATAACAAAAATTATTTCTTATTTTAGGCACAAATACAGAGTTATCCAAACCCAAACTTACCCGTTAGTCCATACAGACGGTGACAGCGGTGCGCGTGGGGAGAGGTCTGATGCTTGTCATTCCCAGGAGAACTTTCAACAATTTTTCTTTTTTCAATTTTACCTTTATGGGACACGATGACTATTAATTAGAGATCAGATGATGCAATATGACAACCAAACCATGTTGTGCTTCGTTGATTAAAGAAGTTGTGATTAAATATTTCAACTTCTAATTTTATATCTAACAGCTCTCTATCATTGTCAAAACGAGCATAGCTCAACGATAATTAGTATATAAAAAAAACTATTCTCTATTATTAATCCCATCATATGGCACAATGGGACAACTAAAGCATGTGAAGTATACAAATTTCGAGCAGATTTAGATTTATAGAACTACATTTTTAGTCTTTCAAAGTCTTTGCGTACGAAATTAGTCCACATTTAACACTTTCCGTTGATACATTGTGCCACATCGTTTTTAATTAATACAGTATATGATGTAAACGTTGAACTAATAGAGTGGAGCTAACATTGACTATCTTATTATGTATAATCATAGTTCAATGGGTCAAGATATTACATACTTGAGTCGGATGTCGAAATCCTCTCCTTGTCAAACTCTGTTCCTTGTTCCGCTAAAAAGACAACTAATATAAAAATAAAAGACAAAAATACACTTTTAATCATTAGATTTAAGTTTGGTGTCTATCGTATTTCTTGAAGTTTGAAAAGAATATTCTAAATGGTTTATTGAACTCATTTAACATAATGTTTACATGGCAATTAACATGCTGACTCGACTAAGACAGATTTAAATTAATTGCAAAAATATCTTAAATTAAATTAATATTAATTTGAGATATTTTTACCTCTTGATTTCAAATTATCAGTAATGGTCAAATGGTCAAATGGGTTCAGAGACCCTTTACAATACTTTTCAAACTTTTAAGATTATAATTTTTTATTTCATAAACTAAATAGACTCAAACTTAAACAACGCCAAAAGAAAAAATATATATAATAATGCGGGAAAGATGATTTTTTTTTTTTTTTGGGTACAAGAAACAAATATGTATAGAAGCGTGGAAGAAAAAGAACCCAATTTGAACGAATCAGTGGCGCGCACGAACGGAAAAATGGATTACTGAAGCTTCTTCTCCTCTCGTCCACTCTTTTTTTCCCTCCAAAGATCATGTCTTCCATTTCCTCTTCCCTCGTTCTTCAACCCCTCAAAACTTCTAAACCTTCCACCTCCATCTTCTCCTTCAAACCCTCTACAAATTTCTCTCTGCTTGTAGTGTGCGATTCCCAATCCAAACCTAATTCCCCCTCCAATTCCAGAAAACCCGCCATGGATCCCCGCAAACCCACCTCCAAATTCCGTCGAAAATCGTCATACGGTACCTCAAGGAGGTCTATTCTCAAGAAAACTTTCAGTCAGGAACAGGTGACCTTCGCTACTGCTCTCTCCGAAGATCCCGTTGTCGCCATTATTGGCGGCGGCATGGCGGGAATAATGTGTGCGCTGAGTTTGGAGAAAAGGGGTGTTCGCTCCACTGTCTTTGACACGGTTGGTCATTTCAGTTTCTTTTCTGTTCGAGTTTTTTCCCCTGGTTCTCACAGATTATGTACTTAATTGTGTCTGTTGCATGATTAGAAGGCTTTCTAGTGACCAGTGGATAGATTTGCGTACATCTTCTGAACCCACTCTCATGTGGGTTGAAATTTGTTTTTTTATTAACTTAGCACATCTATAAAAGGGCATTTCAATTTGCATTTTTTGTTGCAGGGAATTCATGGATTGGGAGGAAGAATGGGGACCAGAAGTCTTGGTCCTGAACCCCTAATCTTTGATCACGCGGCTCAGTTCTTTACAGTGACTGATACCCAGTTTGCTCAGTTGGTCGATGGTTGGGTGGCTGCAGGTTTAGTTCGAGAGTGGGAAGGTACCGTAGGAGAGCTTGAATTGGGTGGTAAGTTTGTTCCGACGTCTTCTTGCCCGAGGTATATAGGCACGAACGGGATGCGGCCGCTTGCTGACTCGTTGCTGTCTCAGGTGATTGAATTCTGTTTCTATTTGGTTGTGTTTTCAGGATGGTAATGAAAATCTTCAGTAAGAGCAACTGGGAAGAATGAACTAAAAGAATCTGGAAGATGTAAAGCATTAAAACAGCCGCTGCCTAGCCTTGTTAACAGCAAAGATTGTTGCATATACCTGTTTAGATTGCTTGGTTTTATCATAGTTGAATGCACGATATGGAATCTACATAGACACAATTTTTAATAATTCTGATCACTTGAGTGGACCTATTGATTATTGATGAATAATTTCGTGAATGAATTCTAATCTGAAATTTATCCCAAAAGAAAAAAGGAACGTTATGCTGTGGTATCCAAATATTGTAAATTTAGCTTTCTGACCTTTTGCTCTTTTGTTTCCTCTGATTTTTCTACTTATATACTATTTGACTGTTGTTCCTAGACTTCTCTTATTAATGTGATCCGCCCTTGCTGGATAAGCAAGCTGGAGCCATTTAACGGGATGTGGCACTTAAGTGAGAACGGAAAACCTCGCGGGCATTTTGATGCCATTGTTATTGCACATAATGGCAAGTAGATGACTCTTTCGTTTCTTTTAGAATATGAGACACCAAAATTTGTTGCTTTTTTTCCCTTCTTTTTTACCGTTTTTAGGTTCTCTGGTTGTATGTGTCAGCGTTGACTGCCAAGAGGCAAAACTGCTGATTGCAGCAAATGTTTAAATGTCATTCACATTATATTTATTATGATCCTTCTGCAATCTTGATCAACATTCATTTTTTCTTTCTTTAATTGCTTATCAGAAAATTTTCATTTAGAATGAATTAGATTTTTGAAATGTTGGATTGTTAATGCTGGACAGGCAAGTGCGCTAATCGGCTACTTGCAGCATCTGGCTTACCTCTGATTGCGAGACAAATGAAGGTTCAAATTTTGATATCTTTTTCCATCCTTTTTAGTTTGTTTAACAATAAGTATCTCCAGGCTCCTCCTTAATTAGTTCTGTCTATTCTGTATTTTGTAGAGGTTAGAATTGAGTTCTATTTGGGCCCTCCTTGCAGCATTTGACGATCCTCTTCCTATCCCAGATGGTGCAGCAACATTTCCTTTTGAAGGAGCTTTTGTAAAAGGGGTCGATTCCATCTCATGGATGGCAAACAATAACAAAAAATTTCTAAATTTTCAGAAAGGTGGGCCCCACTGTTGGACCTTTCTGAGTACTGCTGCATATGGGAAACAGAATAAGGTTCCACAGGTTGGCTCTCCCATACTGTTAGGCTTGCCCGTTCTTGCATGTACTCATAAGTCATACCTAATAGTAAATGTTCTTAATCAATTCACGTTCCCTGATCTCTGCTACACTTTTCCTTCTTACTATGCTTTGGTGCTTTGAATTGAAGTAAGAATTGCCTAAACAAAGGCATAAAAGTTTGGTTAGGTATCAATGAGAACATAACTAAGTATCAGAGTGACCCAGTTGAATAAAATAGAGGCCAAGATCATATTGTTCATTTGGAATCGAAGAGAGTATTGTTTCAAACTTCATTAGTTGGCAATCTCAACCTATAGTGCAGGATAAGTGTTTGACATTTGCTGACCAACTTCAGTTATAAAGTGCATTTGTTGGTTTTAAACATGATATCAGCAAAGTATCGAACTATTCCTATGAAATGGTTTTAGCAAACTATGTAAAAAAAAAAAAACAAAATTTGGATGGCCCAATATTCCACCAATTAGTAAGATTCTAAGCTTTCATTAAATGAAAGAGTGAAAATACTATTATAGATTATGCAAGAAATGGAAGGAAAAATGAATGCTTTTTTTGGCCATTTTTCATCCTTGATTGCTCATGTTTGTTTATTATCATCTGCAAAATTTACTATTTTATTATCAATCTGTCACTGCCTTTTCATTTCTGGTTTCATATGGTTATTAATGTACACTATGTTTGACACCTTGAGCTGACATTTGATATGTGCGTCCACAGCCTATGTTGAAGAAGTTTACCTCGACTCAAATTCTTTTGTTAAAATACTGATTAATACCAACTATTATGTTCTGTTAGGAGAATATTCCAACTTCTACTGCTGAGAAGGTAAAGAAAAACATGCTCAAGGGTGTCGAAGATGCCCTGGGATTGTCCGAAGGGTCACTACCGAGACCATTTTACACCCGAGCTCAGTTATGGTAATTGGCCAAAACGTAATTCACCCATGATCGATCTACCATACCTTCTTGATTGTCTGAAAAAATGGTTAATAGCCTAGATATAGGCTGTAACTGTGGATATTCTTGCCAAATAGCATATACTTAATGTTAATGTAACTGCTATACTTGAAGTTGCAGAAATGAAGTAGCATAACCTCCAAAAGAATAACCTTTTTTTTTGTTTCCTTCATTTAAAAACCACAAAACCCAAAAGGTTAAGTTAATGAGTTATGGTATATTGATTATTTTCTTTTTTCTATATATACTTGGCACTCTTCCTCACTCTTTGGTTTAGAAATGGATGCAAGACCTAACAAGTAACTATCAATATCAAAGAAATAACATTATAGGGATCCGAACACAAAATCCATTGGTCTAATATTATGTTAAAAAACCACTAAATCTGAAAGTTTAAGGCGATAAATTATGATATATTTAATCTTTTATACATATTCTTAATGTCCTTAATAATCAAGATTTTCACATTCTCTATGCAGGGGTGCAGCACTTCCTACCAATACACCTGGTATTCCATGCATCTTTGATCCTCTTGGAAGAGCTGGAATCTGTGGTGATTGGCTACTAGGTTCAAATATAGAATCAGCAGCCCTAAGTGGGATAGCTCTTGGCAATCATGTAAGCATGTTTGATTTTCTTTGTTTGTGAGATTGCTTCTCGTCTTTCCATGACAAGCTTTACACGTACCCCGGAAATCTGCAAAACTACATCTGATTGTTCTATATATTCATTAAGCAGACATAAGGGCGATTAATATTCTGCATATGTGAATAAATGCAATGCCATGCTGTGCATTTACTAAGCGAAATTGGGATCTCATTGCAGATTGCTGATTATTTCCGTAGTGGCACTGGCAGTGTACGGTCCGAAGAATTCGCAGTTGGTTTACATAATGAGTTTCAGCCCATTCAAGGTCATGATATTGGACAATTTCCAGGTTTGGGAACTGAAAAGCAGGCAGATATTGAACGCTCACTTCAGATTGCCACTTGAAGTTGTCCTTGTTAGACTCATTATGTATATCTTTGAAACATAAACCTTATGAAAAGACCTTAAATATGTTGATGTGCATGAAATTCTTCCTCCTAAACTTTGCTATTGTTAATGTTTGCAGACAACTATATATAAAGTAAGGTGTGGCATTTTTCCGACAATGGTGTTGATGATGGTTATTGCAGGAAGATGGGGATGAATGCGTCGATTTTGAAGAACCCCAAAAGAGTAAAATGCGGAGCCGAGGCAACTCAACTGCCTTGATCAAACCTACAGCAAGGACCTTATCTATGCGATCCATCAGGCAAAGTATCTCTATAAGTATGTCCTCTTCTCAAGAATTCCAACTTCTAAAAGAATAAAAGGTGGAAATAGATTATGATAGAGCTAAGTACTACCAAAATTTGATGATCGTTAATATATTGTCTGGGTAGTCTCTAAATTTTCGATTATGTATTGTATGTGATAGACTAGAACGAAATATGCATGGAAGTTTGTTTTATAAATTTAGATATGAACTTTTCATTGATTCAAAATCAGAACCGAGTTTATTTATTGGTCGATAAATGAATTTTTGTGACAAGAAAAATGTGATGGAGGGCAATGTTTGTGCAATGAAGGGCTTTCTCGTGAGTTGTGTGGCAGAGTCAGATTCAGGCATGGTGTGTGCATGAAGATGGGAGTTTTCAGAGAGAATAACCACAAAAGATATGTTGATTACTTTTCATTGCATATTTCAATTGTAAGTTTATTTTTTTGCAAAAGGAAATTTCATTTGATAAATGCTACTTCACCTGTTCTTCTTATTGGAATGTATAATGGTAGTCTAAACAAAGCTTCACTCACTTACATATTTGCTTTACATTTGGATTTTCAATTATCAAACCCTAAAGGGCAAATTAATTGAAGCAAGAATAAGGAAAAGTCTAAATCTAAGCAGAAATCCAACGAAAAATAGAGTGTATTTGATATTTTCAAGGAGTTTTGTAGTAGATTTATAAATGTTCATCTTAATTGTAATATATTCATAAATAATAATAGTGAGTTTAGTAGTGGATTTCTAAATAATAATAGTGATAGTTTAAATACTTTGAATCTCCAATATTAAGAGTTTAGTTGGTATCTCAAAATTTCTTCCAAATATTGTTTGGTAGTAAATTTTGAAATTGAATCTCAATTTAAAAATGGTATAATATATTTGTAAACACAATCTATTGAGTAATTTATTAACATATATTATAAACTTTGTGTCATTATTATTTGATAATATTATATAATATTACAATATTTTACAAATAAACTTTTACCATAGTATATGTATTGTTTTAAAACATAATTCTATCTTTAAAGTTCTAAATTTAAAATCTAAAAACAAAAAACAGCGACACTATCTTTCCCTTCTTTATCGTTGGATTGTCACGCCTTAAATTAAAAGTTGAATCTTAAATATTTTTAGTTATTAATTTTTTTTTTAGAAACATTAAATATTTTTAGATAATTTATTAATACAAGTATATTTTAATTTATACGAAAATGAATGGAGTTTACTGTGCAAATTACACAATCTAACAACAGTTCGCAAAAAAGTAATCCACCAAACAGGTTGTATAGAAATCTATGATATTTTGAATTCATTTTGATTACTTTGATTTAAAATGGTCTACAAAGAAAATATTTTTGATTATCTCAGAAAAATAAAATAAAATACTTTTGATCAAAAATAAAATAAACAAATTCATTGATTGTCCAAATCAAAACACATTACTATTTTTTTTAACTCAAGACACAACTCTAATTTCTATTTCGTTGAATTTCTTATGTTATTTTGATTCTTTCAAAATATTTATCTTTTAAAAGAAAACTTAATTAAACAAATCTCTAAATTTTTGCGCCAACGTGGATAGTAATCGTGTGCCACGCTCGTGGGCTGATCGGATTTCGAAGCGACGTTTGTTGTTTCAGAGTGAATACGAAAAATCCGCCATTGAAGATCTAATCCAAAGCTTCATTTTATATTCCTACAAATTTTCCAGAATCTCAAGCCATATCGAAAATCACTCTCTGAAGATTGATTTGATAAACCCTTGAATTTATCAAACTGAATTAATAAAAATAGTGTATTGCAACGATTGCATCTCATTTCCCCTAATTTACATGGCTACGAGAGATAGAGAGGATCAGTAAGTAACAAACCCTAAATTCAATCAAACCTACGTTCATTTCTTGACTTTCCTTGCCTGGACTTTCCTCGCCGGCGACTTTACAGTCTTCGGCTTCTTCGCGGCTACCTTCTTCGCCTTCGCTGCCGGTGCAGCTCTCTTTCCCGGTGATGTTTGCGTCAATGTTTTCGCCACTTTCGCGGGCCTTGCAGCGGGCTTAGCCTTCGCAGCAGCTTTAACTTTCGCCGCCGCCTTAGGCTTGGCCGCCGCCGCCGCCGCCTTCGGCTTTGCAACAACCTTGGATTTGGAGATCGTCTTCGGCTTAACCACGGCCTTGGGCTTAGGTTTCACTGCAGTTTTAGCCTTCGGTTTGACGACGGCGGCCTTCTTCTTCACACTCGCAGCTGCCTTCAACTTTGAACTAGCTGGCTTCTTGGCAGCGACAGGCGCTGCGGCTTTCGCCTGAATCGAGCGAGCGGAAGGAAGCTTGTAGGAGTTCTTCACCTTAACAAGTTTATCAGCGGCGACTAATTTCTTCAGATGAACAAGCAAGAGCTTCCGGAAATTCGACGGCAGCTGTTTGTGCTTCTCTTCACTGAACTTCGTAATGGCGTACTGACTCGAGCCTGTCCTCTCCTTCAGCGATACAATCGCCTCGCTAATCATCTGAAACACACAATTTCAAAATTCGATCAGACCAGAACATAAAAACGGAGTTGATAATCACTTGCGAGTTAAACAGAATTCAATCACTCTTACCTGAAAGAAAGGAGGATGAGTCGGTGAAGATTTCGGCCTCTTCGCGCCCGATGGTTTCTTAGCCTTGGAAGCTTTCGAGGACGCGGCCTTCTTAGGCTTCGCATCGTTCGCCACAGTCAGAACCTCCGCCGCGTCGGCGGCCGGCGCGTCGGAAGGTACAATCGGATCTGCAGCGGAAGCCATGATCGCAATTAACCAGAAGCTTGAACTTGAAACGTATGCGGAAGAGAGAGAGAGAGAGAGAGGACGATGGGATTTTAGAGAGAGAAAATTCGGTGAGGAGAGAGACGGTTGAGGGCAGTTTATATAACGAAAGTGGAATCGGACTGCTGCGATATGATTGGTCGAAAGGCGTTTGACGCGGATCGAGAGCCTCGTGAAAATTTGAATTTGAGCCCTTGGATCTGGGATTTGTCGACGGTCGGTATTGAAAGTACGGGTTAAGAAGGGATATGGATGGGCAGGTTGAAGGTTGAAAATGGAATTTTTAGATGTGTTTTTCACTTCGCTTCCTAAGGCCATAACTTGTTCAATACTTGATGAATTTTAGTGATCTTTGGATGATTTTGTAGCTTAGAATCTAAGCTTTCAAATGAATGTAATTTTAAGTTGTTTGGTGTCCAAAATCAAAAGTAATTTGGTTTTGAGTGAACATTGGTTGAAATTAGGGTTATTTCAACGTCTTTTTGTTTCCTGTTGGTTTTAATGCAAAATTCTAAATCTACTATCTGAATTTTTGTTACACGATCATTGTTATCTTCTTTACATTTCAAGCGATCTAAAAATTGAGAGCTTTTATCAACTTTCTATGTCAAAATTCATTCTAAAACTTCGTCAAAGTTGCACATGTCAATAGTTGATTTAGTGAATCTTTTATCGAAAGTAGAATTGCAACTAGAACTATTAATTCTTTTGTATAATGCTTATTTCGGTAATGTGTCCACCTACAGGCTACAATAAGCCACGTTGGAGAGATATAATGATAACAACATTTTAGAAATTCACATATCTAATGCTTGTATAGTTTTATTTAGTAGTCAAGTATAGTAAGGAAGATCCAAACACTCCTCGACCGTGTAATATGTTTATTTTTACATTGCAATTGGATCCACTTATTCTAAATCACTATTTTTCTAAACTTTCAAACCCGAACTCTTGGTGCATGAACTAGATCATTCATCCCTTTTAGTAACATATAATAAGTACACTACAATATTGTATATAATCTAACACATCAAATTCACTACACGTGGCTTCAAATACTTATCTATACAAATATATACTCATAATAAGATATAAGTAATACAAATAATATATGTGTGTGTGTGCTTTGATATTTTTTTAAATAACCTATCAAATAAATTAACAAAGACAAGAGGGTTATTTTATTCCTAAGTTTATTAATTAAAATAGAACGTTGAATGATCAAAGACGAAACTCAAATAAGCAAGTAGAAGTTGATCAGAACAAAAATAGGAAGGTTAATTTGAGAAAGGAAAAAGAAGACTGAGAAACACAACCCCATTTCCAAGGAAATGAAAATTGAAATGGGGAAAGCTAACAACATGGATCCATTTCAAGATATTTCCTAAAGATAGTTTTCTATGCATATAGTTTTACTTTGCAAAGAGCTAAAAGGTTACTGTAAATATAACTTTATCATAAGGAATAGGCAGCAGGTTGAACTTGACTCTGATCAAGTTGTTGTGTGTAAAGTACAAATTGTAATGCATATATACTGTCCAATAAAAACAAACAGAGAAAGACCCAATAACTAATATCAATATAAAATACAACAACGCTCTCTGAAGTTTGCCAAAATAGCAGCAGCTGGTTCAACATGCTTGAACTCCCAATGTTAGGCTAGGCCCTTGTTTGGTGGGCGCGGGAACGAACAACGTCGAAGAGGTTTTTCGTGCATTATCGGCCTTTCGGATGGACAAGTTGAGAGAAGATTGCAGTACTGTTTTGTTCACTAGATTGAATCAACTCTTGCTCACTTCCAAGACTGAGGTTATTGTAATGTGCAGACATGTCTTGGTTTCTTTGGATATCGTCCTCATGCATCCTCGAGCTGTGACTCGAACCACCACCATCGGCACTTTCTTGCAGTTGGAGAGCAAATTCCAGGTTCCATAACACATCGCCCATAGATGGTCGCTCGGCCCCATGGTCATCGAGGCATTTCTCAGCTGCATCTGCAAACTTCTTCAAGCTTTCAGGGGTGATTTTCCCCTTGAGGTGGGGGTCGATGAGATCCTCGAGAAATCCTTTCTTTTTGCAATGCAATGCCCAATCCGCAAGACTAACTTGTTCCTTGGGCAGGCTTGGATTTAGAGCAGGTCTTGCACACAACACTTCAAACAGGACAACTCCAAAAGAGTATACATCAGATTTCTCGGTCAGTTGTTGCCTCCGGAAGTACTCTGGGTCTAAGTAGCCAAAGCTACCCTTAACTACTGTGCTAACATGGCCGGTAGACATGTTTGGACCAGTTTTCGAGAGCCCGAAATCAGAAACTTTTGCAACCCAGTTTTCATCCAAGAGAATGTTGGTAGTTTTAACATCTCTATGAATGATGGTGTACTGTGCTCCTGTGTGAAGGTAGTGAAGTCCTCTAGCTGCTCCAATACAAATCTCCAGCCTTTGCTTCCATGAGAGACGAGTTTTGTTGTTGGTCTTATAAAGATGCTCCCTCAGAGTTCCCAGACCCATATAATCATAAACCAAACACATCTCATTCTCATCATCACAAAAACCAATCAAAGACACCAAATGTTTGTGCCTCAGCTTCGAAAGCAAATCGATTTCAGTCAGGAACTCATGAACTCCTTGTTCTGACGACGGGTTCGACCTTTTAATTGCGACTTTTGTCCCTCCATCAATCACTCCCTTATACACCTTCCCAAATCCTCCAACCCCAATCACATTTGACTCACTAAAGTTCTTGGTAGCATGTAAAATCTCTGGAAGCGTAAAAACCCGTGCTAAACCTTGTGCCAAATTACTCGCCGTACTCTTCCCGGATGTCGTCGATTTGCTCCCACTCGAATGTGAATTCCCGTAGATGGGTAACCAGCTATTTGTGTGTGAATCTGTCCCTGGCATTCTGTTCTTCTTTTGGTACACTACAAAGCAAAGTGCCACCACAACAAAGGCTGCAGCCCCCCCTGCTGCCCCTCCTATCACTTGAGCATTACTGCCCTTTGCTTCAAAAGTTCTTTCTGATTGAGCCTCAACCTTCTTCCTAAATTCCGAGGCCTGAGGATTCCTCCCTGCCAAATTCTTCGACGCATCCATCTTGAATATCTCAACTCCATTTAACATGGCATCCGCATATTCAGGGTGCGACGCCATCCTAGGATGCAATGCCAGCCAAATCTCCTGCATTGTCAAGCTATCTTTTGAGTATATAAAATAATCCCGGTATAATGGAATGCCCTTACCACCCGCCCAACCAATCACATCTAACCCATTTGGATCCACTGTTTGATTGTTGATGTAGATCGTAAACACCACCTGATTTTGCTTATTCATATACAAATCACAGAAATGCAACCTCAGTAGATACATGAAGCCTGGATCGATGTTAGGGAATACCCATGTCAGATTGAAGTTCAAACTCATTTCCTTGTTAGGCCCCATTGCTCTTAGTGACTGGTAAACTTGCATTGGAGCTATAAACTCTGGCATATCTCCATATTTGATCGCCAACCGTTTATCAGCGTTTATCACAACACCTAGGGAAGCACCATATACATAAGGATTATCGCCATACCATGACCGGCCCAGACCGGAGTCATTCACTGGGGAAATGTAACTCCCCCCAACGTTCAGTCTCGCAATAGTCTGCATATTCGAACTCCTCCCATCAATCGTTTGCGCCGGTGCCCCAACCATTGCGGCTTCCCCGAAGATCTCCGGCATTAGAGCCAACTCAATTCCATTAACGAAGGCAAATCCAGAATCCGGCGTGAAGGTCACGGTTAGGACTTCGGATTCCAACGCTGCTAGTGAAAATTCCCTAACAATGTAGGCTTGTGTGTAGGCCTCACACGTGAGGTAGGCGCTGAAGTTCTTCAACAGGGTGAGATCGTTCGCAACGACGGTGAAATAGGAGTTTACAGAATCATGGGTTCCGTACGTCGAAGGGTAAAAATGGAGGCGAAGCCAGTAGCGACTACCTCGTTTGATCGGAAATTTGTAAGCGGTCGCGGCGGTAAAAACTCTGGCCTCCATGTACGGAACCTGCGAAGTCATCGACGGATCTTGGAATCCGGCCGGCGCAATTAAGGATTTCTTCGGGTCAACAAATTTGGTATCGGGGCCCCATTTTCGGCCGAATTCATC